TTTGGTCATCAATAACAATATTAGTATAATTTTTGTTAGCATCAGGCAACTCTATTTGAGTTGCAAAGCCAGTATTGTACCATATAGCAGTAGTGTTGTGAAGAAAAGTACTCTGGTTACAAAATAAATCAAGGAGTATTGCAGAGGTGTTTTATAAACCTTCCCAACAAAATCTTCCTTTTCCCGTATACCCTATGTTAGTTTGTATAGGCATAGCCATTGTAGGCCACGTTGGAATGAATTCAGGATTCCATTGTTGGTTAGGGAATAACCACATATTTTGCCTGAATTCACAGATGTTAGTAGATATTGGAATCCAGTAAGAATCAATGGCTAATAAGGCCCATTTTCCTCCAACGGGAAGAACTCTGGTCGTATTTACAACAGTTTTTGTTCCTACTCATTGAACAACATCCTAAGTCTGGTTGACCATAAATTTGCCATAAGTACTAAGTTGCCATAAGTACTAAGGCAGAAATTAAATATTTAATATAAGTTACAGGAGGCTTTAAGGATTTTCTACAGATTAGGAGAGCTATGTAATTTCCATAAATATATATTTATGGAAATTATAAAATTTCCATAAATGTATATTTTGGGTTTCTGCAGTTAATAAAGGCCATTGGCCATAGATACTTCAGATTCATGTGGATTAGCATGTCTAGGAGCCCTCGGGTTAAAGTACATGCTTTTCTCCATTGTTGGATACAAGCATTTTTCATCATAATATGCTGTTTGATTTAGCCATTTTTAAAAAAATGTTCATTTATTTTGAAAGAGAGAGCAGAGAAGGGCAGAGAGACAGGGAGAAAGACAGGCTCCAAGCTGTCAGTGCAGAGCCCTACACAGGGCTTGACTTCATGAACCAGGAGATCCTGACCCCAGCCAAAATCAAGAGTCGGAGCCACCCAGGTGCCCCTAGCCATTTTATTAAAGGCTAGATTATCAGCCCAAGCAGATGCAGATTTCCATCCTTTACCTTCTTCCTGAAATAAACATTCTTCTAATTTTCCTTTTTGTCCAAGAGTGTTTTTTTCCTTTGACATGTCTTTTTTGTTTGTTTGTTTCATTGGTTGGTTTTTTTGTTTTGTTTTTTAATTGTTTTTAATGTTTATTTATTTTTTGAGAGAGAGAGAACACAAGCGGGTGAGGGGCAGAGAGAGAGGGAGACAGAATCCAAAGCAGACTCCTGGTTCCAAGCTGTCAGCACAGAGCCCCATACTGGGCTCAAACTCCTCTAACCACAAGATCATCCAAAGTCGAATGCTTAACCAACTGAGCCACCCGGTCGCCCCAGAACTTTTTTTTAAAGTTTTTATTTATTTATTTTGAGAGAAAGAGAGAGTGCATGCATAGGAGTGCGGGTGGGGGACCAGAGAGAGAGAGAGAGAGAGAGAGAGAGGGGGAATCCCAAGCAAGTTGTGGGACTTGATCTCAAGTTTTGTGAGATTGTGACCTGAGCTGAAATCAAGAGTCGGACGCTTAACTGACTAAGCCACCCAGACACCCAGACATGTCTTTATGAAAGGCAAGCTCAGCCTGACTGAGGGAGGATACCCAGACCTGATCCTTATGCCACTCAAAGTTTTCTTTCTTCACTGGGGCCAGTGCTGACTTATCCACCAAATGTGTTGCTGCCATTGTAAACCAACAGCTTTAGTACAATTAGGATAAAGATTTTGAACCCAAAAGCGTTGGGCTTGCCAGACTAGTGCTAATTGAGTAGTAGGAACTTCTCAATATAATTTGGTCTGAGTATGCCATGAGGCTTCTCATAATCTTCTGGGTCCTAAGACAAAGTCAGATTTAGAAGGTGGATGAATCCACCAAGTCATTCTGCTAAAGTAGCATCTCTGGGAGATACCCATTGGGTTTTTTGGGTATTGGTTTTTTTGGCTTAGGCCATTCCATCTACAAAAACATGGTCTGTGAATACATGGGATATTTTGGCGTGTCGGACAAGCTGTCACTTGTACCCAAGCTCCCACTGTGCCCAGGAACCTTTCTTAATAAATTATCATCAAGTTTATAGAGACACAATGGTCAATCTGTTGAGTGTCATACATAATGCAGGTTAAACTTGAGTTAGGAAGTCCTTTTTGAAAGACTTTTCCTAATAAAAGTCCTTTATAATATATATATCCTAAAAACCAAGCGTCAGAAGCTAAAGGAACATTACAGTGTGTCCAAGAGGTCATGAATATGTTATCTAAGTTATCATCATAGTAAAGTACTAGGGTAGTATTTGAAGTTACATTAGTTAAATCCGCAGGTAACCATGATATTTCATCAGGATGTAATAAAGGAGGAGGTGAAAGCAAACAGGTAGGTTTACTATATTCTAACATTACAAACTGAAAAAGAAAGAAGAGTAGAATACAGGCCTGGTCTCAAATCTGGGGACAAGCTGATGTCATCTATTTCTTATCCTGGTCTGGCATCCATTGCTTAGTTAGTCAGAGCCAAGTGTCAGAGACAAGAGTTGAAGTTCACTCTGGTGAAGGGACCTTTTTAAAGGAGAAATGTGGATGCCTGCATTTAGACCTTTTGACATAACAGCACAGGGTTATTCAGTAATACTTGATAAGGTCCCTTCCAGTAAGGTTGTAATGACTCTTTTATTTGATGTCTTTTCTAATAAACAAGATCCCCGGGTTGGTCTTTGAAATCTTCGTCTCCTAGGAGTTCACTGTAAAAGAAACTGTGAACAAAATTTTCACTTTGTTTAAGGGCTTTAATGAGGCCTTGATAGTAATGGCAATAATATTAATAAGGTTGGTTCATACATTCCTTCATCTAACCTCATAAGCCATGCAATTGTTATGACTTCAAAAGGGGATAATCGATGTTTTTGAAAGGTAGTACATCTCTAACCTGGAAGTACAGTAAAACCTTGGTTTGTGAGTATAACTCGTCCCAGAAGCATGTTTGTAATCCAAAGCACTTCTGTATCAAAGTGAATTTCCCCATAAGAAATAATGGAAACTCAGACGATTCATTCCACAATCCAAAAATATTCATATAAAATGATTACAATACAACACTGTAATATGATACAAAATAATAAAGAAAATACAAAATATAAAGAAAATAAACTAACCTGCACTTATCTTTGAAAACCTTCAAAGGCTGGAGTGAAGGAGACAAGAGAAAGGGGGGTTATTGTGTTGGACAACTTTCACTATCGCTAACAGAATCCCTGCTATCTATTGGCTCAATGGAATCTTTTCCCGCATGGCAGCTATTGTATACACTTACCCAGATGCTGACTACAGGACAGTATTAATAAACTCTTGGCATATATTGTACTTAGTGTAACTGGCAATAAGGCAGCAAAGGAAAGGGTCTGTATCTGCAGGCAGCCTGACCTGGAAAAAGCAAAGCATTCCTAAACTTACTCTTGTATGGAAAAGCAAAAGACTCTCATAGGGGCTTTGCAATAGCAAAAAATACACTAGTGCCAGCTGTGAGCACCTTCCAACGTTCTGAAAAATCACTGATTTCTGCCAAACACTACGGCCTGAGACCAAGCATCCGAGCATGGGAGACGATCACCCACAACTCCTCAGCAAATTAGAGAGAGAGAGAGAGAACAAATGGCGCAGTGTGATCATGTGACATTCAGCATCATGTACTACTCATATTGCAAGACATCATTCATTTACCAAGTTAAAATTTTTTAGAAATGTTTGCTCGTCTTGCAGAACACTCGCAGAACAAGTTACTTGCAATCCAAGGTTTTACTATACTAGTAGGAGAGGTTTTGGCCATGGAAATTTAAATCGTTCAGAAAGTTTTGCCAAATGAGTCTTAATGGTATCATTTTTTCTTTCCACCAATCCTGGGGATTGCAGATGATAAGCACAATGGAAATGTTATCGGCCAAACATTACAAATGGTTTTAATTTTTGTCCAGTAAAATAGGAACCTTGATCAGGATGTAGTTCGGAGGAATTCCCCAAACAGGAATTATCCTTTCTAAATAATTTGCCTACCGTTAATGCCATAGCTCTCTTCTGTAAGGACAAATGAAAACCAATGTGAAAATCATAGCCAAAACATATTTATATCCTTGAGATGGTGGCATCTGGACAAAATCCAACTGCCATACCTCAAATGGTCCTTTGGGAAGCGAGAGATGTCTTTGTGATCCATGTAATGACTTCCCAGAATTGTGTATTGGGCAAATGGTACAGCGGGCATACATTTGACAGGTTCCATAAACATTATTTACTCCATAAAATCACTTTTCCAGATCTCCAATGAGTCAGTTAACAAATATGTGAAAGTAAAAGTATTTGTACTCCGATAGGAACACTAAGTTTTTTGTTAGGCCCAACCCATACCTGAGTGATGGGGTTGAATTTTCTCCCTTTGAGTCCATAAAAGCAAATCTTTTAATAAATTAATATTAAGGAACAATGAGCATTCTTGATGCTGGACAAAATTTGTATCTAGAGATACTCACTTAGCAGTTACATCAGCCAAATGATTTCCTTTTCTTCTATGGTATCAAATCTAGAATGCCCAGGTATCTAAATAATGGCAAGTTGTTGTGGTAGTTGTATCACACCTAATCACTTTGCAACCTGCTTCCCACTTTTTATAGGTTGTCCTGAGGACGTTAAAAATCCTTGTTGTTTCCGTAACATTCCAAAGTCATATGCTACTCCAAAGGCATAGTGACTGTCAGTATAGATATTTGTTATTTGAGTTTTAGTCAATTGACAAGCTCAAGTTAGTGCAATTAATTCAGATCGTGAAGATTTTCTTTGGGGTAAATAAGAGCTTTCAATTATATCTGTTAAAGAAGTAATTGCATATCTAACTCAGTAATGTCTTTGACCGTCTTTATGATCATCTGTAAATTCCATAAACCAAATTAAGTCAGCATTATCAATGGGGTCTCATGTAAGTCTTTTCTAGGAATAAGAAGATAATCAATTAATGAAATACAGTCATGACCAAGATCTTTTGGCCTTTTTTTTTTTTTTTTTGGTAGTTTTATACCTTTATTTGACAAGCAGCAATTAGTTCTCATCCACATTAACTGTCTGCAGATTTTTGAAAGTGGTGACAGGTACATAAGTCACCAACATATAGAGCTTGTTTGGTGATTCTTCATCCTCATTATGTTTTCTGGACAACTGCATGCGGATACAGTTTGGAACATTCCTTTGCTGAGCCTGGTGTCAATGCACACATCTGGAGTTCCCATTCTCCTTCATGGCAAATTTCCAGATCATTTTGTATGCCAGAGAGGCACACTTCTTGAAACCCACTCCATGGATGTGCTTGTGAACGTTGATGTGTATTCTCTGGTCACTACTTCGTTGGCAGAACGGACCTTCTTCTCAGCACCCTTCTTTTCAGGAGCCATTCTGCCAAGCCCTGGTTGGAAACCCATGATCAAGGTCTTTGTGTAGATCTGGAAGTAAAGTTGCATGGTTAAAGTTACTTTGTCAAGCTAGAATACTATTAGGTATGGAGAGTAATATTACTTTTTAAGAAGCTGACTTACAGAATAATGTTAAGATGAGAGTATAGAAGAGATACAACTGAATGTGGAATATAGTTAAGGGGAGACCATTATTTCCTCAGTGGCCTTGCATGTGAGTGTGGTTGCCTAAATTGCTCTCATACAAGGTGGAAGTCCTTTAGTCACCAAACCAAGTTGTTGGCTATAATATCCTATAGGTCAATGTTGATCACTATGCTTCTGAGTTAATACACTTAGAGCATTCCCTTTGTTTTCATGTACCAAAATGAAGAAAATGGGGTCATAATTGGGGTGTCCTAGGGCAGAACCTTGAGTTAATATGTATTTTAATACATCTACAGGAATACTGAAGGAGCTACACAAATCTATCACTATGAAAAGTAATGCTTATTGGTTGGAATCAAGGAGAGCAAAGTATGTGGATTTGGGACCACTGGATGTCAAGTCACCACAGTATTAGTTCTAGCTTTCAGGTCTTGAACAAATCTCCAAACTTTTCAGTAGATGTGTTACAAGGGCTAGTACAAGGAATTGAGTCCCCTTTTCAGAAACATGTAGGTGGCTATTGTGCATTCAGGAGCTGTTCAGCTTTATTTTTTTAAGTTTATTTATTTTGATAGAGTGAGTAGGGGAGGGGCAGGGAGAGAGAGAATTCCAAGCAGGCTCCATACTGTCAGCACGGAGCCTGATCCTGGGCTCGAACTCAGGAGCCATTAGATTATAACCTGAGCTGAAACCAAGAGTCGGACGTTCAACCAACTGAGCCACCCAGGCGCCTCAGGGAGTTGTTCAGCTTTAGAGCATGATTTCGCATCTTCTTTAGGCTTTAGTTTTAGTATAAAATCTGGACAATTCTCTTGGGAGAGAAAAATATAGTGGACCAAAGTGTACTATTTATGAGTGCACTTCCAGGAGGCTGTGAAACACACTGAGGTATCCGGTGTTTCCCCATTGGTAGCCTAAAACTGCCGTGGGGGCTCCAAGCACCAGATGATCAATCCTTACTTGTGCATCCCCAGACAAGCCAGACTTTATTTACTATGTGAAGAAAATGAAATTCCCAATGGGACTGCTTCTCATCTTGAGGAATAATAACCTCAGATACTTCCATTAGGTTCTCGGTCACCTGAGAACGCCTTTTGGCTAGAAGGAGCAAGTATCCCCTATCTTCAGAGCTAAATAATTCAATCTCTCATTTTCTGACTCGTTGGTATTATCCAGTCTTTAAGGTTTTATTGCCAGACCAAAGCCAAATATGAATTAGCCAACCCAAGTTTTACTCCCTTGTCCAGAGGTTTCCTACCTAGAAAATCTTACCAGTACAAATAAAATCAGTCTAAAACCAGCTTGAATAAAAGTCCGGACTGTCAACTTAAAATAAGGAGATCTGCATAACAGAACTCACTGATCCACTCAAAGGTTGCTGAAAAGCCAGAGGTATACAAAGGGCCCATGCTGGTACCAAGTGCCAGGTTCCAGAAGACCTCAGGTGGCCTCAGGTGGATTTCTCTGATGTCCTGCCAACTAAGCCAAGAAATGTCCATGCAATTTGACCAGAAAGAATTCTAATATGATTTTAAAAAGAGAGAGAGAGAGTTTTATTCTAGCACAGATCAGGACAGCTGCCCAGGAAACACGATATTCACAGGGAAGAAAGTACTCCAGGGAATGAACAGTTTTTACAGAGTTAAATACTTTTTTACATAAAAATATGACAATCAGTGGGATGCCTGGGTGGCTCAGTCGGTTAAGCATCTGACATCAGCTCAGGTCATGATCTCACTATCCGTGAGTTCGAGCCCCATGTTGGGCTCTGTGCTGACAGCTCAAAGCCCGGAGGCTGCTTCAGATTCTGTGTCTCCCTCTCTCTGCTCCTCCCCTGCTTGAGGCTCTCTCTCTCTCAAAAATAAATAAACATTAAAAAAAATTTTTTAATCTGTCCATCAGTATGTCAGAGGTGAATTCTTTCAAAAGATCATATTAATATGTAGGCAGAAATCACTAGTTTTAACTTCATGAAATAAAGGGAGTTGGAGTATTGATCAATATCTTAAGTGTTATGCCCAGAATTCGTGATCCCCAAAGACCACCAGGGAGCCGAGTCCAATGCAAAAGCAAAAGAGCCTTTATTCGAGCTAGCTCCAGCTCAATCCCCTACCTGCACCGACGCAGCGGTGAGATACTGGGGAGAGAGAGTGAGTTTCAAAAGCACAAAGGTTTTATTGGCGCCTAGGGGCAGTTGATGAGGTAATGGTTGTGGCCTCAGCCGATTGGCTGGGGAAGGGTCAGAGTCCTGTTAGGCAGGTAAGGGGGGGGGGGGTTACTCAAGGGGAGGAGGCGTGGTCAAGGTGAAGGACACAGAAAAAGATGGAGTCAGCCGGCGTAGGCCCGCCCTTTCATTCCCTTGCCATGTAGCTTGCGGACCCAATCATGGGACCAGCTGCATTTATGGTGACAAGGGGAACAGAGTTTGGAGGTTTACACAAAATTCTGGGAACCAAGTGTCCCTGGGGTGGCTCTGGGAGGTCTGATTAAATATTGTCCCCGAGCTGGTGTCTATGATCTGCCAGGTGATGTTTTGGGGGGTGTGGGGACTCCCGGCAGCATGAGCAATGACAAGCAGAGTTAACAGAGTTACCAATATTAGGTGGGTCGAACGCGCTGTATGTAGCTTGAGCTTGAGCGGGTTGTGCTGGTCCCAACTTACGGCCCATTGCATGACAAAGTCCTTCCAGATCATGGAGGGGTCCGCTGGCTGAGCGTGGGTGTGATGGACCCAGGTCGCGATGCCGTCTACTTTGAGAGCGGTGGGGGTTGTCAGCACCACGATGTAGGGTCCCTTCCAGCGCGGCTCGAGGGTCTCTCGGTGGTGCCTCTTGACGTAGACCCAGTCTCCCGGCCTGTACTGATGAGGTGTCGGGGTCGGGCCAGCCTCGTAGATGGCACGGAGGTGCGGCCAAATGTCCTCGTGCGCCCTCTGGAGCCCTCTCAAGGAAAGAAAAAGTTCTTGATTTTTTAAACTCAGCAAGAAGTTCAGCTCGAAGGTTGGGAATAATAGGGGGTGGCCTGCCAAACGTGATCTCGTAGGGAGTAAAACCCAAGGTGTAAGGAGTGTTCCTAACCCAGTAAAGAGCATACGGTAGGAGAGTCACCCAGTCCCCACCAGTCTCCATGGTTAATTTGGTAAGGGTCTCTTTTAGGGTTCTATTTATTCTTTCTACCTGTCCTGAGCTCTGGGGCCTATAAGCACAATGTAATTTCCAGTTTGCCCCCACCGCCTTGGCTACTGCCTGCGTTACCTGCGAGATAAAAGCTGGTCCATTGTCTGATCCTACCATGGCAGGAAAACCATACCTGGGTAAGATGTCTTCTAGTAGCTTCTTAGCCACTGTCTTGAGCCGTTTCACACTCAGTTGGGTATGCCTCCACCCAGCCAGCGAAGGTGTCTGTAAATACTAAAAGATATTTATAACCATACTTTCCTGGTTTGACTGCAGTGAAGTCGACTTCCCATTGGGCTCCCGGTCCGGTGCCTCTGAGCCTGGTTCCTTTTTTATCTGATGTGGCTCTCGCGTTGGTGAGTTGGCAGGTCTTGCAGGCAGATACAACTTGCTCTAATATTGAGACTTTGAGCCGGTCTGGCAGCACGAGCTCCTTGTTAGGTGTATACCACCATCCCTTTATCTCCTGGGCCATGGGGAGTTTCTTGATCCGCTGCAACTCCTCCTGGGAGTATTTGGGCTGGTCTGGTAAAACTGGGTCTCCCAAGTCCGGTAGTTGTTAAGCTGTTTTCTAGCTCCCAGCATCAGCGCCTTGGTGAGGGCTATGAGCTCTGCTCGCTGGGCTGACGTTCCGGAGGGTAGAGCCTCTGCCCATACGGTGTCCGTTTCGGTGACCACCGCTGCACCCGCATACCTGTGTCCGTCTCGCACAAAGCTGCTGCCATCAGTGAACCAAGTAGCCTCAGCATCGGGGAGGGGCCAGTCGGTCAGGTCCGTCTGGAATCCATGTACTTGTTCCAGGATTCCCACACAGTCATGTAGTGGAGCACCTAGGTCAGGGTTGGGCAGCAGGGTTGCAGGATTGAGGGCTGCACTGGGGTGGAACCGCACTCGTGGAGGGTTGAGTAGGAGGCTCTGGTAATGAGTCATACGTGTGTTGCTCATCCATCTATCAGGAGGCTGTTTCAGGACGCCTTCAATGGCGTGTGGTGTCGTGATCCAGATCTCCTGTCCTAGGGTCAGTTTGTCTGCGTCCTTGACTAGGAGTGCTGTAGCCGCAATAATTCTTTGGCATGGCAGCCAGCCGGCAGCCACTGGCTCTAGTTTCTTGGACAGGTAAGCCACCAGGCGGTTCCAGGGGCCTAAGGCTTGAGTTAGAACCCCTTTTGCTATTCCCTTATGTTCGTCTACAAAGAGGTGGAAGGGCTTCCTAATGTCTGGTAGGCCCAGGGCTGGGGCACTTAGGAGGGCCTTTTTTAACTGATTAAAGGCAGTTTCTTCTTTTTCAGCCCATTTAAATGTTTTCCCCTCTTTGGTAGCTTCATATAGGGGCCTGGCGATCTCAGCAAAACCTGGAACCCAGAGGCGGCAGTAGCTGGCTGATCCTAGGAATTCCCTCACTTCTCTTCAGGAGGTGGGAGTAGGGATCTTTAGGACAGTTTCTTTTCTGGCATCTGATAACCGCTGCTGTCCGCCCTCCAGGATATACCCCAGGTAACTTACCCTCTCCCTGCATATCTGAGCCTTCTTCGCAGATGCCCGGTACCCTAAGGCCCCCAGCCATGTCGGCAGCAATCAGGAAGTCATCTACGTACTGTAGGAGGGTGAGGCCAGGGTGCTCCCTTCTGTACTCACCCAGGTCCTCGTGTAGTGCCTCGTCGAAGATGGTGGGCGAATTTTTGAATCCCTGAGGTAGCCGTGTCCAGGTGAGTTGCCCATTGTAGCCCTCCTCCGGATCATGCCACTCGAAGGCGAACAAGGGTTGGCTCTGGGGTGCCAGCGGCAGACGGAAGAAGGCGTCCTTTAAATCTAGTACAGTATACCAGACCCTGGAGGGCGCCAAGGAGCTCAAGAGAGTATATGGGTTGGGAACAGTTCGGTGTATGTCCGTGACCCTCTTATTTACTTCCCGGAGGTCTTGTACCGGTCGGTAGTCATTTGTGTGAGGCTTTTTGACCGGCAGTATGGGGGTGTTCCAAGGAGACTGGCAAGGAACTAGTACCCCTAGTCTTCATAGTCTCCGGATGTGTGGCTGGATCCCCCTTCCGGGCCTCCCGAGACATGGGGTATTGTTTGATCCTTACCGGACTCTCTCCTGGCTTGAGCTCTACCAGGACCGGGGTCCTGTGAGCAGCTAGTCCTATCCCGCCCCCACCACCGGTATCTGCCCAAATCGAGGGGAATTCTTGTAGCCATCTGTCTATATTATCCTCTCTCAGGAGCGCCTCCTGGTGGAGGCGGTATTCATCCTCCAGTTTCATGGTCAGGACCTGGATGGGGTGGCCCTTGCCATCGGTGACCTGAGGCCCCCCTTGTCTGAAAGTTATCTGAGCTCCAATCTTGGTCAGTAAGTCCCGTCCTAATAGCGGGTAGGGGCATTCTGGTATTACCATAAAGGAGTGGGATACCCGGCCCGTTCCCAAATCGACTGTTCTTCGGGTAGTCCATGAATACTGGTTCATACCAGTTGCCCCTTGTACCCAGGACTTCTTGCTGGCTAGTTTTCCTTGTAGGGTGCGGAGGACCGAATGTTGTGCTCCCGTGTCGACAAGGAAGTCAACAGGGGTCCCCTCCACTTTAAGAGTTACCCTGGGTTCGGGGAGAGGGTCCGAACCCTGACTCCCCTAATCACTTAGTTCATCTAGCTCTAGGACTTTTACTCCATCAGTCTTGCTTCCCTTCCCGCCGGCCCTTTTTGGACAATCTCGGGCCCAATGCCCTATCTCCTTGCAGTATGCACACTGATCCTTCTGCAGCCTCTGCTTCCCCCCCTTGGTGGTGCTTTTACCTTTTCTTGTGTCGTCTGCCAGCTGCCGGAGACGGCGGTCTCGTTCCTCGGGGGAGTCAGCAGTGGTAGCTAGTAGTATTCTGGCCAGGTCTCGAATCTGCTTACTGCTGGCGGCCGCCATGGCGCGAGCCTGCTTGTCCTCAGGAGGTTCCCGGTTATTATATACCTTTTCGGCTACCACCAGTAAGTCCTGCAGACTTTTTTCTCCTAGTCTATCTATTTTCTGTAATTTTCTCCTAATGTCTATGGCCGATTGGTTAACAAAGGCCAGGATAACAGCTGCCTTGCTTTCCAGAGCCTCTGGATCCATGGGGGTATAGGTACGGAATGCCTCCATGATCCGCTCTACAAAGGCAGCCGGAGATTCATCTTTTCCCTGTTGTACATTTCCTACCTTGGCCAAATTGGTTGGCTTTCTAGCAGCCATTCGGAGACCCTCCATTAGAGTCTGGCGGTAGACCCAGAGCCTCTCCTTACCTTCTGCCGTGTTGAAATCCCACTGGGGCCGAGTTAAGGGGAAGGAGGCATCTATCTGAGCCTGGTTGGTGGTGGGATTCCCGTCTGCGCCCGGAACTAGTTTTCGGGCCTCATTGAGGATTCTTTCTCTTTCTTCAGTCGTGAACAGGACCTGCAAAAGCTGCTGGCAATCGTCCCACGTGGGCTGATGGGTAAAAAGAACAGAGTCTAATAAATCAATAAGCCCTGCCGGTTTCTCGGAAAACTTAGGATTCTGAGCTTTCCAATTGTAGAGGTCACTAGTGGCGAAAGGCCAATAGTGATGGGGCTGATTCCCCTCCGCGTCTGGGGGTCCGGTGGCTCGCAGGGGCGGAATAGTGGAGTCGGCAGCGGAGGCGGATAGCTCCCTCTGAGCCCTTTGTCTGGTAAAGGGTAGGCTTCCCACTGGAGCGTTCCCGCCTCCCGCTCTTGGAACAGCGTCTGCCTCCCCCGGAGGGGGAGGATGGTATTCTTCCGGCATCCTAGGGGGGTTATACGGGGGAGGAAAAATTAATTCTTCAGTCCCCCCCTGTAGGACAGGGTAGAGGGGTGCTGAAGGCTGGGTAAGACTTTTCTTCTTCTTTGTCCCCTGCAAAGCAAGAATGGGTTTTGGCTCCGGAGGGAGCGGGGCTAGGAAGGGCTTAAGCCAAGAGGGTGGGTCTCCTACAAGGTCCTGCCAAGTGATAATGTAAGGGAGCTGATCAAGATGGCCTGTCTTAGGCCGAGAGATGATACTCCTGACTCGGTGGATGGTAGGGAGGTCGAAGGTCCCCTCTGGTGGCCATCCGACATTGAAAGCTG